CATAGAAGTTTTTATGTATTCTGATTCTATCCCTTGACAGTTATATGTATTGCAAATATTCCCAGGCTTTGCATTAGATTTCCCTTTTTGTGAAGTACTTTGAGGAAAAGAAGTTCCAGAGTTTAATGAAGACTAATTTACCAGTCATTTCCTGTCTGGTGTGCACTTAAATGTTGCGCTCAGAAAAACCTTTTCTCCCACTAGTCTACCAAGACTTTTCTCCTGATTTCTTACAGTTGTAAAACGTTAGCCTGCCACATGTAGGCTAACCCACCTGGGAAGGGTTCTAGGGCACGAGGTGTGTGCCAACTGGAGATGCTATCTTTTCACATGGATTACCATTGAGCCAATAGCATTTTGTTGGATGGTCTGCCCAGTTTTTGTCATGCTATTTATGACCCAAATAAGTTTTTTTTCTCCTTTGAAGTGTTTTGTTATGTAGTCCAGGCTGGCTTCAATCTCTCAATCTCCTACCCAAGCTTTCCAAGTGCTGGGACTGCAGGCATTCACCACCACACCCATATTCAAGATTCTGCTGTCTGTTCTTGGCTCTGGCTTCAGCCCTACTGTTTTCTCTATAACCGTGTGCAAACCAGTTAGTCTTTAATTATCCTGAACTTTGTAATTGCAATGTCACTTGCTTCTCTTCACTTGACAAGCGCCCAGGCTATTTAGGCCTTTTGTTCTACCGGTTATTTTGGATTTTTATGTGTTCATGGGTGTGTACACTCATATGTCTGAGTGCAAGTAGAGGTCAGAGGTCAACCTCAGGTGTTCTTCAAGGAACACCTTGTATTTTGAGACAGGGTCTGTCACGGATTCCTGGTGATTAGGCTAGACTGTTTAGTCAGTGAGGCTCAGAGATCTCCCTAATGACGGGAAAATATTTTTAAATCAAGGAAAACTGCCACCTTCTCTCTCTAGTTTGCTGAGTAATTGTGAGCCAACAACACCAGGTCTCACTAAATGATTTTCCATGAGGGTCAAATGCTTTTTCAGATGTGTCTCTCCCTCCCCCCTCCACAACCTCCCCCTTTCCCAGAAAGGGTATCACTCTGTAGACCAAGCTGGTCTTGAAGTCAGAGATCAGCTTGCCTCTGCCTCCTGAGTGCTGGGATAAAAGGTGTGCACCACCAATGCTAGGCCAGATGTGATAAATCAAACAATTAGTAAGCCTGGAATTCTTGGGATTAACCCAATTGTTGCCATGACTATCTTTTTACAAAATGCCATGACCAGACTGGCAAGGTGGCTCGGTGAAGAAGTGTGCTCAAGTTGCACTACACAAGGTCCAGAATTTGGTTCTCAGCACCCAAGTCAGATAGTTCACAATTACCTGCAACTCGAGCTCCAGGGGATCTCTAACACCGTCCTCTGACTTCTGCAGGTATATGTACGCATAGACACGTTTTTTAATGTCATAAATGCCAGGCATGGTATCAGTCTTATAATCCCACCATTCAGGAGAAAAAGGCAGGTGGCTTTAAGTTTGAAACCAGCCTTGTCTACATAAATAGTTTCAGGTCAGGCTGAGTTACAGAGATCCTGTTTCAAAAGAAACCAAAGTATGTTTAAAAAGCCAGGAATAACTTCAGTTTGCTCCAAGTCCATGAGTGAGGTCTGCCTGCAGCTTTTCTTATCACTTTCATATCAAGATAGTAGCCCAAATAATGAGCATGCAGAGAACAGCCTTGTTTCCTGCCCACTGGCAAAATGTATATATTTGGAATGGTCTGGTCCTTAAGTGACTAGTAAAACATGATTAAATACCTTCAAGGATGCTTGTATGTGCAAGTACTGACAGCTTTGGTGATCCTTGTAATTTGCAATCTTATTAACCTTTTCATGACCATGCAATTGAGAGGGCTGGAGATAAAGCTCTGTGGTTAAGGGCACTGCTGCTCTTCCAAGCATCCCAAGTTGAATCCCAGCAACCACATAGTGGCTTACAAATGAGACCTGATGCCCTCTTCTGCAGCACACATGCAGGCAAGGCAGAACTTTTCTCAAAGTAAGAGAAATCCAAAACCTAGTGACTTAGGTTTTATTTTTCTTGAATATGAGAGATGGGTTGTTCAGAGTATTGAGGTAGCTCTGCTCGGTTCCATAGTGCATGCTTATGACTGCCCTGACACTGGCTGGTTGGCTTCAGGCATGATGGTCCTATTCCAGGCAAAATGAAATAGAGAAGAGAACAAGGCACTGACAGTGTTGAGATAGACACATTGCTTTTTTTTTAAATTTATTGTCAAAACTTGGAGACAAGTACACCAAGTGCTAGCTACACAGAATGTTCCAAAAAAGCACAAACAACATGGACTTGGACAGTTGCTGCTGAGCTCTCCCACTGCTCTAGGCAAGGCTGCAGTGGTTAGCATGTAGCTGAAAATCAAGAATGAAAACAAGAAAGTAGCAACATGAAAAGAATTGGCTTCAAAGACTAAACGCCTAACCAAGGTAGATCTGGTATGTCCGTATGTCCGGGCTGAGCTGTGGTTGGGAAGAAACACGATTCTCTACTGTCTCATCTGGGAGTGAGGCCTCTGAAAAACTTCCTACCCTAGTACTCAGTACTAGGTACCACAGTAATCTCCCACATTGAGATGGAAGGATCCCTGGGTTCAACAGTACTGGCCTGTCAGGTCTGATGCAGCTATTGCTGCCACCTAGTGGCCATCTTCCTTTAAAGATGACTGAAGCTAAGTGCCAAGCATGTTACCGTTTCTTGAAACCAGGAAAACCTTGAAGTTGGTTATATATACAGCATCTTGCATTTGAGAATTTTTCAAGAATGTATTCTAACAGAATCAGACTTGGATTTCATGTGTTTGGTTTTTCTTCTTGCCTCACCAACACCACCATTTGAGAACAAAGACGGAGGTGTGGGCACACTTTGCAGGGAAGGAAGTGACCACTGAACTCCTTTACCAAGCAACATACCACCTAAGCTGTGGCCTTACTAGTCACTGTTATCATCTAATGAAAGGTACACTTAAGCTCTGGCCCACAAGTAACACACGCACCAAAGATGAAAGAGTATGTGGTTCTGCATTCCTGGTGGCAGTAACACATGGTCAGGGGGCTGAGTCTGTGAATTAATCACTCTCAGGGTCTGGCAACAGGAGAGACAGATGCTACAGCCCAGAGCATCCATAGTGCTGGGGCTGGGATTCACCCTAATAGCTCTCCTCCCAATGTCTCTGCAGGAAGAGCCACGCACTGGCTGGAACTGCTCCTGAAATTATAGGAAGCACCAGGTATGAAAAACAGCCCCTGATGGGCAGGAAGATGTACTGCGCTGACCCATTTCAAAGAACCTGGAATTTCCTCCAAGCAGTTACAGCTCTAGTTCACGGCCCATCCAGGTAGCTGCACTATTTATCTGATGCCCATCTGTTTCTGGTCACTATGTAGTCCTGGCTGTCCTGGAATTTGCTCTGTAGACCAGGCTGGCCTGGAAGGCACCTGCCTCTGCCTCCCGCTGCAAGCGGGAGTGTCTCTCTCCCTCCCTTTTACTTAGAAATTGATTTTTTTTTTTTCTAGCTTAAGGTAGCAGCTTACATCATTGATACTCTCCCTTAGTGTAACAGTTTATTTTTAAAGTTGTTCTCTACCCTTTGGGGCATATTCTTTTCTGAAAATTGTTTACTTCAACACTTTCCTAACAGAGCCCATGATTTCTTCTTTGATGTGTATGTATGCTGTTTAATTTCAAGTACTGGGGAGGCTATTCCAGGTATCTTTGTATCTAAAATAATTATTTACTGCCTTTTTCGTTGTAGCAATTAAGGTGGTGGTGATACATTCAGCCTTTAAAATTACTCCTTTTCTGTTCTTATTCCTCTTGGATATTTTGTTTGTATGTATGTTTGCTTGCATGTATCTGTACTACATAGGTGTCTGTTGTCTGTGGAGGCAAGAAGGGGGGCTGGAAGCTCTAGAACTGGAGTCATAAACTGTTGTAAGACATCATGTAGGTGCTAGGAATTAATATATTTACATCTTGGCACCCACCAGATAAGGTCCCACCCCAATCTGAATGACCTTGGCTGAGTTCTATGCCCCCAGAGAGCAACACATATCTGGTCACAAGGGGAGTTTGGATCCTATGGGACAAGGCTCTAACTTGGCTAGGAAATCAGCATCAGTCACCTGAACTGCAGATGTTTGCACAGGTGCCACTCTGGAAAACTACTAACTAGTGCAAAAGCAAACAAATGAGCACAGCAGGAATGGCATTATTGTCCTGTGGTTTTTACTTATTCTTTCTCCTCCTCCTCTTTGGTGGTTGTGTGCAGTCATAAACAAAAAAAAATTTTTTTTTTAAAAAAGAGAGAAACCATTGGGCATGTACAAACACATGGCAAGTAAATACCACTACATTGGATGATGAATAAATGAAACCCAACAGGAAATTAAAAAGAAAATTCCTAGAAAAAAATGAGTATGAAAACATAACATCCCCAAACCCATCAAAAATTATAAAGGTGGTTCTAAGAGGGCAGTTTATAGCTGTTGGTTCCTACAGTAAGAAATTAGAGATGTCTCAAATGAATTACTTAATGATATAATGTAGGACCTTGATAAAAATAAGCCAAACTCCAAATGAAAAAAAAAAAATGACATCAGGGAAGACAGAAAAAGAAACATTACCAAACTCTAAGATGGTACTGTTAACATGATACCAAACTCAGACAATGATGTGACAACAAGAAAATTTCAGAACAATTTCCCTGATGAACACAGATGCAAACATTCTCAACCATTTGCAAGCAGAATTTAACAAGACCACACAAGAACAGTTATTTACCAAGCCATGAAGGAGTTACATTACCTGCTGACCTTTTGATACCCATAGATATTATCAGATCTAACAGGTAGAGAGTTCACTGAATAAATGAATCTAATGCCTAACTCAGAAGAGCGATGTAGTCTGTTCTACATACAGTACAATGATTATATCTTCACCATAACAAAATATTAAGATATACTTTAAAAACCACATTTTCAAAAGCATTTTAATTTTTTGATCTTTAATTCAAGTACATGTCAGCTAGTTAACATAAATACAGAATAAATGCATATTAATCTCCAGCCATGTACAAAAATGCAATAGCAACTCATGAATGGGCAAAACTCATCAGCTCTTTTAAAGCTGACTAAACTATGAGTGATTGGTGTAATTTAGTTCACATCCACTGGGGTACATTCAGAAAGTTTTAACATAACTAGACTTTTTAGTTTCTAAAATGGGTATCATAAAAACCAAGGTACAACTAAGGAGAAACAAAAGGAAGGTATGTGAGGGGGCCGAACACACCTTATTTTACATGGTAAAACTCTATCCTGTTTAAGTCAGACATAGCTATCTTCTTTGGAATGTTAAGTCATGATCAATGAGGAGATATGAGCTATGAATCAGCACTACAGGGGTCCCTATAACACTAGCAGTTTGGACAGAAGAGCATGTAAACAGAGATATGAAGAAAGTTCTTAAAAGAAATGGGGGTGGGTGGGGTTGATTCCTACCACTTAAGTCCTTCAAGTTGAAATCAATATTTTGTTGTGATTTTAAAAAGCCACTTATTAAATGAACATTTATTCTTTTGAACACCCCCCTCCAAAAAAAAACAAAAACAAAAAACAAAACTGTGCTCATCCTCACAAGACTAACACACAGCAGACATCCCGGTTTAGGAGACAATTGCTGGGCTACATGACCTAATGTTGCTGTCATAGATTCAGAATTATAAACCAGCTTGAGCCCCTTCTAGTGAGTCAGGCTGGTTCTACACAGCTGCATAATGAGAGTTGGGACAGGGTGAACACAGGAAGGGGCTGGGGTAGGGAGGTGTCTGTCCGTAATGCCAGCACTTAGAAGGCAGAGGCGGGAGAATCCAGAGTTCACGACATCTTGAGCAATAAGAGGCCCTAACCATAACACAAAACAAAACACAAAGACAGAAAATTTGGTGGCAAATATTCCCTGGAAATTTAAAGCACTGTATGGTATCCCATTACAGCTTGGCAATTCACCGCTGGAATATCCAAATTTCAAGTCTCTGAGCCACAGCAGCCGAGTCCTGGTGTATGAGATTTTGCTTCCAGTAACTATTGCTTCAGCCTGACTGAACAAGTTCAATTTTCTGAGAAGACCACAACAAAAGTATACAACGAGGTCCACACAACTCCCAAAACATTTAAAAAGATTATCTGATTGGAAACAGTTTTTAAAAAACCCAATGCTCCGGAGTATGCACAGCTTTTTAACTATTACAATTAAGATAATCTTCAAAGAAATACTTTAGAGACAAACTATATATAACACATACAAGGTTTTCTTCTCTGGGATTATCTGTTGTAAAGTAAAATATGGCAGGCAGTACTCAGTAAAAACAAAACAGACCTCATTGCTCCTTTCCACCCCTGCTTTCAAAATCAATATTAAGACTTTAAAATCCCTTTCCTGCAGAGCACATATGGATACTTTAAAAGCAGAGTACAAAGCACTAGAGGTTTATGTTAACTTTTACTTGCAAAGTACAGAATAATACATGTTCATCCTTGAAGGACACTTATTATAGATTTGCTACAACTATACAAGCTGTTCCTTAGATGCTGGTTTCCTTGTCATTCTTCATCATTTGAGATCTGTGTAACACAGGAGAACATGTCCTACATTCAACACAAAAGAGTTAAGGATCTTCACAGAACAAGGGCACTGTATTAGGCAGTGTCGATGGCACCTGAAGAGGCAAAACACTGTAGCCTGAGACCTTCTCTACAGATTTAAGCTAAACCCTTAGGTGAGGATTTGTTTTTGGTATCTTCCATGCAATAAAAGTCAAAGCTGCAATTACAAAGGTAACAATCTCAACTTGCCTTTGGTCTCCAAATAGATTGGAATAATTTTAATTCCAATTGAGCACCTCAAGAACATCCAGTTATTGATTACAAGGAAGGTGAGACATTTAAGAGGGCATCAAGCGTCACTGGTGACAACAGAGAAAGCTTCCAATGGCATGCAGCTTTTCCATAATACTGTGACATCACACAGTACACAGCACACTTAAAATACCATAAGATCTCCAAAACACTGAAAAATCCAGAAAAATATTATGAACACTGCTTCTGCCTAGTACATAACAATGTTTAAAAAAAAAAAATAAGCAAACATGAATTCTCTAATTCTTACTTCCTTAAAAGGCCACAAAGTGCATTCACATAGTCATTCTGAAGAGAAAGCCCATTGCACAAAATGTAAGGTTATGGTACACTGATGAGTACCACAGTGGAGTTTAATTGTAGAAGTTTGATGTACCAGTATAGCAACATCCATTGGAAAATCTATAGTAGTACAGCAAACACCTTTATTACGGCCATATATAATACAACTAAATTATTAAAAGGTGTTGCTGACTCAACAGCAATATTTAAACACTATATCCTGTTAATACACTGAACTAAAATTAGCCTGACTTTATGATAAAGCATTCAGGGTCTACGACAGAATAAATTTGTCAAATGCAGCACATTCATTGACAGACTCTCTGCCAATTAAGAATTGCTGTATCACACAGCTGAGGACCTTTTTTCTTTTAACAATTTATATTGTCCTAAATATTAGTATTACTTCAAGAAACCTATAAAAGGCAAAAGTAAAATATTACCATTTTCTCTACCAACCAAGAACATGGAAGTAATTTAAAGGTTAAATTTCTTAATGTGAAAATTAGTAGAACAGACTCAAATGTTGTTAACTTTTCTACTTTTAAAGTAAATAATATGTGGGTATGAAAATGTGATAATCACATTATAGGTATATCCATACATTATGTAATTGGAGAATGCATGGGATATTTGAGTCAGTATCCATTACCTTATTTTATAATCCCAACATTAACCATGTGCATTTATTAATATCAATTTAAAGTCCACATTATAATAAATGTCAGCTGTAACCACATTTGAATGCTGAAAGTACTATATCACTGGTTGTCAAAATACAGTGACTAACTATTGATGCCAAACAACTTAAAACATTGTACCAGGCAGAGCCCTCTCAGGGAAATGTATTAAGGACCTACCTACCATTATTTTACAGTATTACATACAGAAGATACCAAGTTAGACATTTGTAATGGTCACTAAATTTGGATAATTACGTAGAGATGACTTTTTAAGACTGTAAGAATGCTCATTTAATTAACACTATATTCTGAATGTCATAAATCAATAAAAAAACCCAACAAAAACAAAAAACGATACATAGCTGGTGAACAATGGTAGGGAAAATGACAAATTTAAGAAAGATATACTTCAAAGCATTCTCTTTGGTGGCCCAGGGTCTCTTCATTGAAGACTAGTGTAGTGTGGTGCTTTACTTCCTACAACCAAACTTCCACTCAGGCACAGCGCAGGTTTCCAAACTACTGCCTTCTGCCCCCCATGCTGGCAACAGGGTTCCATGGTCCACCATGATCTTTTGGTCTTCCTGCTCTGTAGCAGGACAGCCCATTCTGCTATCCATTGAGTAGGTAGACCACCAATTCATAGGTGACCATCATAATGGCTGTGTTTGGAATCTGTCTCACCAGATGGGTTGTCAGACCACGGTAAAGAGACCCATAACCTTCTTCTTTAACAATCAAAGATAGTGTCTGAAAAAAAGATCTGTATTTTGTTCCTTCTTCACGTAGTCTTGTTCTTACAACTTCTGTTTAGGAAAAAAGAAAAACCACTTTATTGAAACAATACTCTTATCTTTCCCTTCTCCTCACACTGAATATATACCACCTGATCTGTTACTCAGACAAATACTGGGGTTCAATGTATAACTTACTGAACTAATCAGACTACATGAACACCCAACTAATACAGCCTAGACCACAAAAGTATCTGTTGCACAAACATATAAAAGGGTACATATACAGCACGATGAATAAATAATATTCACAAGTATAGTAAAGATGAACACAGGGAATTTTTTTTTTTTTTTTTGGGGTGGGAATGCTTAAAGTGCCAATGTAAAATAAAACTGCTTGGATCCTTGTGATTTGAAGACTTAAGATTCATTTCTGATGTGCCCTTGGGCAAACTATTTTAGTTTTTTTTTTGTTTCTGAGTTGAAAATAATGGCACATGTGACACTATTAAGGATAGCATTTGGTCATATGGCATTCGAGTCAAATTTTGCTTGAACTTTATCATCCCCAGTTGCTCTCTTACCATGTGGATATGCTATGGTTGTGGCACAAGTTTTTGAGGTGGCAGCAGCTAACATCATTCTCACAAAATCTGATGCTTCTTTCACAGACTCTTCATCACTTTCCATCATAGAAGCAGTCTTACATTCCAGTAGTTTTTGCTTTATACTTTCATAAATAACAAAATGGATAACTGTCTCTGATATACCGGCATAGGAGGCAGACATGCCTCTATAAAATCCTCTCAGTCCATCTGTCTGATATACTCTACGAATACATTCAAAAGCACCCATTCGCTTTTCCCCACGTCTCCTGAAAGGAAAAAAGGGAAAAAATGGTACTGTCATTAATGGTACTGTATGTATGTGTGTGTGTGTGTGTGTGTGTGTGTGTGTGTGTATGTATGTATGTATGTATGTATGTATGTATGTATGTATGTATGTCACTCTACTAAACAATGGTCTTTTATCATCTCATCAGGAATTTCAAAGTATGTAGTTATTAGGTTTCTCGTCTGGATATCATGTAATTATCTTACTACATGGACTCTTCAGAGTCCTGTGCTCCTCAATGGGATTCAGGTGGGAAAACTCCATGCAAGTGTTGATTCAAGGAAGACTCAAACCCAAACCCTTATACTATGATCATTCCAATTCTAGTTATGCTCAATTTTCTTTGCATTTAGTATACACCACCTTTAATTCCAAAACTGAGAGGCAGAGGCTGGTGGATCTTTTTTAAGAGTTATGAGACCCTGTCTCATAAAACAGAACAAAATAAACCAAACAGCCATGAATAAAAACAACTGCGAGAGGTATGAATTATGACCCTGTATCATAAGGCAAACTTGAGTTTCTTTCAATTTTATCCAGATCTACCTGAAAAGTTAGTTACCAGATAAATGTAAGCCAGATACCCTATATAGTGTACTCACTCATAATTGGATACCAGGCATAAAACAATCTACAATCTACAACTCCAGAGAAGCTAGGATCCTCTTCCAGAAAGAGCTAGAAGCAGATGCAGAAATCCACAACTAACCACTGGGCAGAGCTCCTGGAGTACAACTGAAGTGAGGGAGGAGTGATAATATCAACAAAGGAGTTTAGACCATAATGGGGAAAAACACAGAATCAGCTGACCTGAGTTAGTGAGAGCGATCACTGGTTCTAGTCTGACAAACTGCTAAGACTGAACTAGACTCCCGTAATATAGGTGCCAAAGGGAACTGGGATGGGATATGAGGCCACAGGCAAGGGATCCAAGATCTGACACAAATGCACAAACTGACTTAGTGGAGTGCATTCTATATGGAGAGATAGATACCTTGACCTTGCTACGCTTAGACAAAGATGTAGGGGTGGGGAGGTGCCTTGGTTCTTCTTCAATGAGATGATGGGACAGACTTCCTAGTGGAGGCCGTACTTCTCCAAGGTGGGTTGGAAGGGAAGTGGGGAGAGTGGGGGAAGAAGTAAAAGGGAAAACTGGAATTGGACTGTAAAAAATAAATTTAAAAAATATATTGGGAAAAAAAGTTTCAACCAGATTCACAGTTCAACAGAACTGTGGACCCTGTGTGCAACAAACAATACTGATGAATGGCCAGGCAGGATGAACCTACTGGTGCAATATTGGCAATTCTGTTTCAGGGGATACTCATCTGCTTTCTGATTGGATGTGAGGCTTGCTCAATAGGAAGGACTCATATTTAGTTCTGAAAACTGGTGAAAAACCCATTGCTAAGTGGGGAGCTACAGATGATTTGCTAAGTGGACATAATATGCCTGTCAAATTGCCTTCTAAATAACTATATTCAGTTTCTTTTTTGTAAGGTGAGCAAGGATTACAGATTTGTCAAAGTACCAGGAATAAATGGCCGTTGAATTCTCAGCTATAAATGGGACATAACCCCCTCCAAAGCTCAGCAAACACTGCTGGAAGAAGGGTAGACAGAATGTAAGAGCAAGAGGAAGGAGAAAGGTGAGGATTTCCAGCCATGATACAACTGCAGTATGGCAGTTGTGATGACCTGCACAGAGGATCTCCACAAGACTGGGCTGGTCAACACTGTAAGGGGAAGGTAGGGGTTCATGGGATGCCACTTCTCCCTGAAGTCTTAGATGCAGTTAAAGGTTGATGGGGAATGAATTTCTTCAGTGGCATGCTATTTTAAGAAACCCACCCTTTTGTAAATAAACTCTTACCCATGGCTCCTGTAAGTCATCCTATGCATACATAAAAGACAAAAGCAGAAGAAGGAGGCTAGTTGAGAAGGGGCAGTACAGTGATGAGGGTGACTAAGATAGAAATGTGCCTCGTGCATGGGTAGAAATCCCATTTTCGTGTATACACAGGATAAAATGAGGTAAGGCAACCTGGCATTACTTTTAAAAATCTGGCTTATTTTCAAGAATATGCCTTAAGCTGTGGTGATTCACCTGTGAGCATAACAGTTGAGAGGCAGAGGCAAGAAGATTACCAAGCATTTGAGGGTAACCTCTGTTCTTCCTGGGCTACACTAAGACCCTGTCACCAAACCTTACCAAGCCAAACCAAAACATACCTTGCATCAAGCTGTAATCGGGTCTTTATAAGCCAAATGGGGTTTGTTGCAGTGATTGCAGTAAAACCTAAACAAATACATTTAAAATGAATGTCAGGAGAAAGGAACCACACTAATCACACTAAGCATCTTTACATTGTATGAATCTATAGCAATGATAATGTCTACAAATGTTTAAATTATTAACTGAAGTTAATAATTTGAACACCTATTCATCTACAACAATTCTCCATTCTGGCCTCCCTAGATGAGTCTCTCAGGAGCAAGCAGAGTCTTATCTCAAATGCTGTCCTCACTTACATAAAGCTCTACCCTGTACTGAGTTAACAAACAGACATTTTGTGTATTCAAGAGCTAAAAAAGCATGCATTCTAAAGTAGCTGTCTGGCAGTGAGTCACATCACCTGTCATACTACATTCAAATGGAATCCTACATAAATGGCACTACTTACTAATATTGAGGTCTGTGGACCAGAAATGATCATACAGTATTAGCACAGTGGTAAGGTATCTGTTGGGGGTTAATAGGTGGGATTTACTTGTTATCCAATTAAACAAACAAAAACTCTAAAGTCCAAGAAGCTACAAATTGGAGTTTCCCTATTGATATTACAAGTAGTGAAGAAAGTCAGTAGGGTGGAAGGCAGCTAGCTCTCCTTTACTAAGGTTCAATTATCATTCAGTAATTACTACTGCAAAGCAGCAGTCTCCACAATGGCTCAGTTTCAGAGAGTATAAATTAGCAGTGTGTTTCTGGGACCATGCATTATCTTTTACGTGGTGTCTTTTTACTTTTAGAAAAACAACACAGAAAATGCAATCTTAATGACAGGCATTTATGAAGATGTTTCATCTATACAAAACAGGGCATTTATTTTGCTTTTACATTTAAGGTCAATAATACAAACTTTACAGAATTATATTTACTCAACTGGCTTTTAAATTCACTGAAAACTCACACAGGAAATAAGGAATTTTAATATCTCCTATTAAATACTATCAAGTCAAGCGGTTTGTTTTTAAAAAGACAGACTATACTTATCACATTTAATATGGTCAAAAGTGGTGTGATGTGTTTAATACGACTTTAAAAGCTATTAGTTAGAATCAATCATAAACTTTCCTTGGCTTTTAGAGCTGCAACATAAGTTAAATAACTTTACTCAACTGTTTACAAAGCCAAATGCTCTTTCCTTTTGTGATATCACTCAAATTTTGTTTTATTCCGTCTTTTAACACTGTAGAAATATCCCCATGTCACATAAAGGGGTGTCCCAAGTATCCCTATTTAGCAAGATAAATGAAGTCTGGTTTATTAACTTTTTAATAATTGTGACTAGTATACAGTTTCTGCTTTTCTTAAGCACTTTTAATACTTCATACATAAGGAGGAATGAGACTAATAACTATGGCAGCATTAGCTGGTCATAATAAAATTTAAAATGTGGAGCAGATTGTCAAGGAACACCTTGAAGATGGGTTCTTCTCATGATTATATTCTTGGTGAAAGAAGAAACATGGCTATTAGACTCATTTAAATTTCTTACACACTAAGTCTGAGAATGAGCTTACACTGTTATTTTCTTCCTTTGAACCCCATTTTTCTAAATGAGAAAGTTACAATTATATATTATCAGACATCAACACAGGTCTAAACACCAACTAAGTGAATCCTTGTTGCCAGGGACTGAAATCAGGGTCTCATAGCTGCTAGGCAAGTGATCTATCTACAAAGCCACATCCCTAAACCTGATCCTTATTAAACAAGAATTGTAGCGCCTAAATATTTATAGTAGCTAGGTGTCTCACAGCAAGATTCAGGTTCTAAGTGAAATAATGGGGAGCAGCATAAACTCACAATTATTCATTATTCACAATAATTTATTTCTAGGAAAAATAACTTGCCTTCTTATGAAACTTAATTAGGAGATGTAAGGTGGAAATCCTTAAGCTACAAATAAAGCTATCCAATTAAAAATATTCATTCAACTTTTATGAAATGATTACCATCAATTTTAAGTTTAAAATAAAACATTTAGTTCAAGTTTCTGTCCTTAACTCTTTCCAAGTCACAAAAATTTCTTACTTTAAGATAGAAAATAGTGCATAAAAAGTTTAAAATTTTACACAGAATACAAAGCTTTTAAGATTCAAATGGTAACTTTCAAACTTCTCTGTAAACAATGTCAGAAAGCAAACAGCAGTTACTTCTCACTTAACTAAAATTCATTTCCAGATACAATATGTACCAGGCCAACATTAAGATTTAGGTAAGTGAGAGAGAGAAAATGTTATCTTGTAACTTGGTATTGCTGGAAGCCTATGCTTACTGCGGATGTTCTGGCTTAACTCTCCTAGGAATTGGTACCAGTGTTCAGCACAGACAAGCAGCCAATCAACAAACTACTACTGGCTTGGATAAACAATCTAGGCATCAGCTACAGGTTCTTAGCTGTTGGTCCTTAAAAAGAAAACTGCTAACTGGTTCTTGACTTTTACAGTACTATTTTCTCTTAAACCAAAATTAGTTTAACTAGTGAAGAGACATTACTAGACTAATTAAATCTGGAAAAATATAATCTATTAACCCAAGAAATGAAACAAATGGAATAAAATAAAATTTTACTACTAACAAAATTATGAGATAAGGCAATTTGTGGTTAGCCACAACTAAACATGTTTTCTTCCTACATTTATAACAAGCACATACAGATATTGGGTTTAGCAACTAACTATCACTTCTTGGCATTTTAGTTTTGTTACATTTGTGATAAAAGGCTAATCACTGTATTCAGAACACCCAATTAAACATGAAAACCAACTGAAGAGTATAATGAAGAATCCACTTATAGACTAAGAAATCTGTATTGTTCCAGAATGAGCTAAGACAAGGTGCCAATACAGGCATTTAGTTAGTAGTGTCAGTGTTTTATAAATGCAAACTTAAGTCATGCATCAAATAAACTCCACTTGACAGTGTCAATTAAAAACATAAACAAAATCCCACCTATAGAAATTCGCTGAAAATGTTTTTAAGTGAACGGTATCTGTAGTAGTAATACATTTCAGTATTTATTTCAATTTAATTCTGAAAGTACAAAGTATATACAACCTAAGAGAAATGATTCAAAACTATTTTAAATTAAAACCATACTAAAACAGCTAAGACCTTATTCACTATATAGCCTGTACTTCTTAGAGACACCAGCCTTTTCAGAAAGGGGCAGTAATCAAGTAATTCAGGTATCAAGACTGGAGTGGAAAGCATTAGCTAAGAAAAGGCAGGACAGTTGTAGGACAGTATATTATCAACGACAGCTCTAACATATTAATGTACACTGTTGTCATTCTGTGGAGGTCAAGGCTACTATGGCCAGGCTGAAGACCCCAGGCTTACATGGTAACTAAAAAGTACCCTATGCTTCTTTCTAGAAGGATAACAAAGGGACCAAAGTTAAATCTTTAATACTCAACAATGTGCACAAATCCATGTCCCACCTTCTACTCATTACACAGCTATTATAAAATCCCAGGGTGTGTTTCTTATACTAGAGGCTGCAAGAGATGCTCAGATCAGTACTCACGAGGTTTAAGTTAGTCCATATTTCTACAGGAAGTGACCTGCGGATGGGGAGCATGAGATGACACGATCTCACTCTTTTCTCGGGAGAAATGTACAGTAAATGCCTAAAATAGACACAGGCTTTTCTGTATCATAACAACAAGCAGTGACCTCATCAGATACATGTGTACAAACTGAATCCCACTGGATGGATTTAAGAAATATTTACTGTGAGATCTTTTTTTTTTTTTTTTTAATTTTTAAGTTATTAGAAAATCAGAATGGGCCTTGTGTTTTATTATAAAAGCGTATAGAGTACTGACAATCCCACCATCTTCAGCAGATTCAGAATCCATATACTTACCTAGAAAGATGATCAACTTTGTCTTAGAGAAAAAATGCTAACCTTGTCAAAGGTAAATCTAATAAGTTTAGAAAGGATTTTATATTCCATTTTCTACCACTGTTATCTACCATGAAAAGAGCTGCAAATACTTTTATCTGTTCTTTAATTAAAAATGTTATCTAGTGACTTAAAAAACCAACCACACAAACAGAAATAAGAGCCCCAATAGAATATTAACGTCTGGAACTTTGCATAACTAACAAAGAACACAATGCTAACAATAGTACCTGTCACCTTTTGACTCTAGCAGTAATATTGCACATCCATACTTATGGAATATTTTGGATTATTTTGTATTAATTCTTGTGTTCTACAAAACAGAAAACAGGGAAAATGTTCACAAATAAGCATACAAAGCAGCTGTCCAACCATGCACTTGGCTGAATACTGTAAGGTAAAAAACTTTATAGTTAAGGAGGAAAAAAACACCTAACCTCACATTTAATTAATGAAATTAATTAACATCATAGAAAAAGTATACTTTGAAAAATGTGTTCTTGAAAACAAAAAACCCAAAAATTTGTATTCTGTAGGTATATACTACTCACTAGTTATACTGACAACACTAAAGGTTATTATTTATTTATGGAAGACATATTAGAATTTTCACACTAACCATGGATACACAGAAAACCAGAAGCTCATTTCCTTTATAATTATGTCACAAATATTTATCAAGTAACTTTTAAACATTGGTTATAACTGTAAAGAAAGAAGAAACTTAGATTTTGGCAAGCCAACAAGTGTCATGGTGTCTCAGAAGTCTACTCAAGATTATCTCAATGAAACAGACACAAGATACCCTCAATAGCCAACAGTAAATAGTGTCAAAAGTCATATGTAAGGGGAAAAAGGACAGGTAAAACATAAAACCAATCAGGATTACTTGTATTAAATAGCTTTGTAACCATGTTTTAGTAAACAAAAGCATACGTTTTAGGTGTGGCCACTTAAAACATATAAAAATTGACTGTCTTTACCTGCATTTTAACTAAGTTTAATGGTTAAATTACATGTTTTGGTAGATTTGGATAATATGCAAAATGAAAACTGAAGAGAAACTGTGTGTACTGACTGGTGTGGTAAAATCCCCAGGCAATATATGGCTAACTGCTTCTTTTAATATGTTTTCGCTAGTAAAATGACAAGGTTAGCATTTTTTTTTTAAATTAAAATTTTCACAAGACTTATCTTTAAATACTTTGAACCTTTCAATCATTCTTTGATGAAGAAAACCCAGAATCTGGTGCAGATTATTTTAATAATAAATGGGTCAAAAAGCTACCTTAATCTGGATCATTCTGTTTCACCAGCCAAGTAGCTACACACAAAAACCTGCAAAGCTAGATGTTAATGCTAACAAACAGTACAAAACATGCTGAAGGCATAATTTTCAGGGCAATGTAACTGCAAACAAATGAAAAAAATATTTTCAAATTGCACAGTGTAATAAAGTCTGAATATGCATGCTTACCAATTTACCAAAACTGAAGAAATTCAAGTTAGAAAATAGCATTAATGAAGATATTATACATTTGAGAAAATAATTTTAAAGAAGTTTTTTACTGAGTTATTTTGCAATGTGATACAAAAATAACAAATTTTGGTGAGCTGTCCTAATAAAATAAGATGTTCTGGTAAGAATTTAGATACTTTGAACCTCTAAAAAAAAAAAAAAAAGTGCAATATATCTAATTTCTTTCTTTGAGACAAGGTTTCTCTGTAGCTTTTTGGCTGTCTTGGAACTCAGAGATCTGCTGCCTCTGCCTCCAAAGTGCTAAGATTAAAGGCACATGCCACCATGGCCCAGCTTAGCTAATTTCTTGAATTTTTTAAGGTAACATTAACATTTCCTTTCAATGCTGTGGACAAAGAAGTCCCCACCACCAAAAGTCGACAAATGATGATAATTACTAACTTAATGTAATGGTTACTGGGCTTATATAACTAATTGGCCCAACTGTCATCTATACGCAGTTAAATCTGTAAACATCCATAAATAGTACAATTAAAAAATTCTAGTTTGTAACTAGCTAAATACTATTATATTAGGAGCTAATTCTCAAAACCTAATCTACCCAGATCAATACAGTTATTCTAAGGATAAGGTCACAAAAACTTCCAGGAACCAAGATTTCCAGACTGGCAAATCAGTGTATTCTATCTTGACTTTAAACACTGTTCCTTCCAGCTTCAAAATGTCAATCAGTCATCAATTGAAAATATAAAAGTCTTGAAAACAATTTGTAAGCTACATACTAGATTTACTATATAGCAAAGGTTATGATTCATTCACTAATCAGTATTTCAAACTTATAACTTGGTTAAATATACAGCTTAAATTAAATTGCCCTAAACAGAAAATGTCTAGGTTTAAGGCACTTATTAAGCACACACTGGGAAGTCAATTTATTGATCAACAGCTGACTGATAAAAGCAGCTACAGTTTTCTTTAAAGTTACAGAATATGGAATACTAAATACTAAATAATTTTCAGAAAATTGAAAGAACTAAAAGTCAAGGCTTTTTCTAACATGCATTGCAGCAAACAATTCCAGAACCAGAATGGCAAACTAATCTCTACTGCTTACTCTTATTAGAAGGTAGTGCAAAATCCTGTGAGGATTGTTGTGATTCTGAATCATACTTGTCATGACATTAAGTTCATGGAAACATGTACATAAGCATGTACACATAAGCCAGTATCTAAAGTTCAGGTCTAGTACGTAGTCTAGATTATTCTAAATTATAGTCACTGGGTCATAACAAATGTCACAAAAGCTATAGCATCTGATCACAGACACATGAATATTTTTTCAGGTACAGGCGGCACATTTCAGACAGAAGCCGAAACATGCAGCAGGAAGGCACTACCGGAAATTGAGGGGAACAAGCGACAGCTTTGACTCCAGTGGGATTGGCTCCAGTGGCTGGACTCTTACAGCATGAATGCATTAAATATTAGGTAGTATACAGCAAAATAAGCATTCCATCTACAGTCTGCCACTTATACTCTTAACTATAAAGATGTAACTGGTAAGATTTTACACAGACCAAATGTTTTATTCAAACGAAGCAAAAAAACAAAACAAAACAAAAAACAAAAGCAGTCTTTGTAGATTTTAATTATTAAAAAGCACACTAACCATTTTAATTTGATAAAGTCATCCTAAATATTAGCAACTCCAGGTTTTGGAAGTTTTACTATTAAATATTCATACCTGCCATTGCAGCTGAAATCATGTGGACTTGGGTGGAATCAGGATCAAAAACATCATTCAACTTTTCCTTGCAGTTTGAATAAGCAGCAAAGTATATTGCTCTAAAAATAAAAAATAAGTTAATAAAGCACAGATCTTCATAATTTTAGAATAGAGAAATCTAGTAAGGTCTCAGTCATATTCAATGTAACATTAGATGTACCCATTTTCACCACAAAGCATGTTTTGTACTTTAGAAAAGCCAAACTCCAATGTATAGTTCCTGGCAACCATTCTCACAGTTCCCAGGAAGAGCATTTATACATGATGAACTTTTAAAATACTTATGTATAGCCATGTAGACCTCTATAATTATAGTACTCAGGTGTCTTAGGCAGGAGGTTGGGAAATGAGGCTAGCCAGGGCTACACAATGAGACTTTCTCAAAACAAAAGCAAATAACACCCCTACCCTGCCCCACACAAACACATCAAACCCTTTATTTTCTTTAAAGATTTTTTAAATAACTTTAAGTCTCTACAGTTAAATTAAAAATACAACTTCCACAATTTATCATAAAACATTGGTTTACCCTTGATCCCTACATTCTGAGAGGTGGAGGCAGGTGGATCTCTGTGATTTCAAGGCCAGCCTGGTTTATATAGACCAAGTCCAGGCAAACCAGGATTATATTTTGAAACCTTGTCTTAAAACAGACAAACAAAAAAATAAAAACCCATTCCCACAGTTTATAGTTTTTGCCCTGGTAAATATTCAGTCCTTCCCATAAGTATAAAATTCTTCTAACTCCTATGGTTAAGAGAATATAAGCATTTTCTCAGAAGGTAGCACAATAGGCAAGTCATTGGTTATGAGAAAATTCATATTTATTTTGAAAACATTACTAGTTTAATAGGTCCTATTCAATCCAACTCAAAGATGCTATTTTAATTTATAGTTCTGAATAAAAATTTCTCCCCTCAAGTCTCAGATCCATTCCTAGCAATTTAAACTTAGTGCTATTTTATTCCACATTTCATTTCCCAAGTGTGAACACTTGGAAAGCAAACATTACACCTTTTCACAACATGAAACACTCCTTAGTATATATTGAACTTGTTAGTCCCAGAATCAAGCTTTTCTGTGTAGGTTCCTTCTAATTAGCACAAGACAAACAACCTTCCCATGAATACTCAAAGTTGCATAAAGACTGCCATAACTTTTTTACCTGGAGGGGGCCACTCCCACTAAATTGGGGCCTAATCCTCTAAACAATGAGCGAGGACCCTCTTTTTTCAGGATAACTCTGAAAAGAGAAAAATAAATTATTAGAAAGAAATGTTCTTCAATTGTTCTTTACTAATACTGTAGAGCAAGGCCAATTTGTTTATAAAGTATTTTCTGGTCCATTTTCATTACTCATAAAAACAATGCGGGAAGTGGGGGGACACACAGGAAAAGTAACTAAGGATTGAAGTAATTTACTAAGGATAATAAAACTGTACATATTCTTTTTCCAAAATGGTTGGCAAGATGGCTCCGTGGGTAGAGGCATGTACTTACTATTCAGCCTAAGGATCTGATTTAGATCCCTGGAATTCACCTAATTATGGAAGGAAAGCTGATCCATAAAGTTGGCTTTTCCCCTCTACATGTATACTGTGCCAAGAATGTACCCATACACACACACATTTTTAAAAAGTAGTTTTATTGAAGTATGCCCACTAATGCTTGTAACCCCAACACTGGGAGGCTGAGGTAAAAGGAACATCCTAAATTTGAGTTTCAAGTCAGACTGGGCTTTATGTGTCCCTGTCTCACAGTAACAGAAAATATTAAGAAATACATAGATTGCGACACTGACTTTCTCTCATTTGTATCAGCAAACTCAATCCCATAAGCAGAAGTGTAGCTTCTGGGGATCAGATTCATGCACAGAGGGCAAACCCTCTACCACTGAGTGCAGCCCAGTTCTTGAAATCTTTACATAATCCTGGAAAATACCCCAAGTGCTGACGTATGATGTCAATCAACAGTTCCAGTGAGATGTTATGGCAAAATCTATTATTCTAACACCCTCTATATATATAATACTTGGTGAGTTTCCAATCAGTTAACAATTACTATATTAAGAACTTTAAGAATTTATGACTAGATAAGATAGAAAGGAAAAAATATAGTCCCTCACACTGAAAATTTTGCTGAGATTTCTGTGAGTTCAAGGTCAGCTTGATCTACACAGAGAGCTCCAGGACAGGGCTACAGAGATACCCTATCTTGAAAAAAAAAACCAAAAAAAAACAACAAAAAAAAAAAAAAAAAAAAACTTTGCTGAATAGTTACTCCCCCCCCCCCAAAAAAAGGCAAAGGCAAATATTGTTCAGGGTATTATATTATCCCCAAAAGTAAAGCTACAGAGAGTCTAGAATATAAAAGGCATCTGAGATTGCAGAGGTGAGAAGGGACAGTAATATTTTAAAGTTAGAAGTCAGATGTGTGGCAGATACCTATAATTCCACATTTGGGAGGCTGAAGTAGTTCAGGCCAGTCTAAATAAAACTGATTTGGAAAAGTAAACAAACAAAAAGCAAAAGAAACTTTAGAGCTAAGAAACAGGTAGATCAAGTGCAGCTGAATCTAATAGTTAAATGTATTAGCTGAAGGTGGACAAAACAACTATGAAGAAAGTAACCACCAATTTCAGTTGCACAGTATTCATTTATTGGGTACTTTAGTAATTAAATAAATTAATGTATAAAGACATTAAAGGAGTGCATGAAAAATGAGGAAATGGTGGTAGCAGTGGTATATTCCTTTAATCCCATTATTGAGGAGGCAAAAGCAGATGAGTCTCTTTTGAGGCCAATCCAGTCTACATAAAATCCATGGTCACCCAGAATTACATAATGATGCTTTGTCTCAGACAAACCCCTGAAAATTATTTAAAATTTTGAAAGTTCTTATGATGAAGGAAAAGCAAAATTACTGAAAACTAGAACAACTAGAGGTCTAAGAGAGAATTTTAAGAAAATCTGATCACTGGTGATGTTGGCATTATGATGTCAAGATTCATTTCCTGAGGCTGGAGAGATGTATCAGGGGTTATAAGCAGACTGCTCTTCCAGAGATCCTGAGGATCCTAAGCTCAATTCCCAGCACCCACGTGACAGCTCACAACCACCTACAACTGTAGTCAGTCCCATGGGATATGATGTTCTCTTCTAGTATGCATGTACGTAAACAAAACACCCAGATACATAAAATATATAAACAAATCTTTTCAAAAAGATACTTTTCCCACATCAATCTGTACTTTTCTATAATTATGATATTTTAATTTAAAATTGCTGACAGTACTTTCATGTACTTAGGTACACGTTGAAAAAGGTATGATGCAATATTTTTGTAGCAAATGTAAATACACTGGATGAGTTCATTTGCTACTACAAAATAAATACTACTGAACCAAGTTCAAACAGATTTCAAGTGAGCTGATAAGGGAGACACACAGGCATTGAGCTCTAACACAAATCTAAGCACACAGAAAGTGATCTGAATAAGTTTTGTTTTTCAAGACAGGGTTTCTCTAGGTAGCCCTGGCTGTCCAGGATTTGTTCTGAAGACCAGGCTAGCCTCAAACTCAATAGATATGCTTGCTTATATGCCTCCCAAGTATTGGGATTAAAGGTGTGTGCCATTATAGGCCAGTCTTAAATAAGTTTGAAAGCAACTTAATTAAGCCTAGCTAGTAATATAAACATGCCAATCTTTTTTTTTTCCTAACCACCAAAAAATGTCAACACACAGAATTTTAAAACCGGGATAACTGTTTCAAGCCAAAGCTGTTTTTGTTTTAGATTGTATGCTATATATTTTGTAAAAGAAAACAGACTGTCAACAACTAGATGCAGGTACCTGTGTGTGTATATATGTGAACATTAAACACATAATAGTAGCACCAACACAACTAAATAGAATAGCCATCTGTGTATGGTGCCACAGAAGTAAGCCTGCTCTGGAGACTGAATTCCAGACCAGTCAGGGCTCACAATGAGACCTTGCCTGGAAACAAATGAAACCAAAATTAAATCGATTCAAAACAAAATACCTATAATATCTTTAAGAAACCCAATGGATAAATTTAGAAAAATATTTAACGCCAGGTGTTGGTGGCACATGCCTTTAATCCCAAGCACCCTCGAGGCGGAGGCAGGCTGATCTATGTAAGTTCGAGACCAGCCTGGTCTACAGACCGAGTGCTAGGACAGGCTCCAAAACAAAACAGAGAAACCCTGTCTCGAAAAAGCAACAACAAAACCCCAAAACCAAAACAATCAAAAAAAAAAAAAAAAAAAAACAAACCAAAAAAAAAAAAACAAAAACAAAAAAAAACCCAAAACCAAAGAACAAAACCAACCCTCCCCCCCAAACATAATCTTTATAATTGTTCTACTCCATTGTGACCTGTTACCAACTAATACGTTTGATTCATAGTAACCTCTGTCCTTAGCTTTTCTAAAGAACGTTTTTAAATGTGGAAGAAAAACCTTATGTATGTGGGAATCACTAAGCAGCAGCAGCAGCCACAAATTTTTTTTTTGCTCTCACCTCAGGCAATGCAGAGGTCCAGATATTACTCGGTTGACACTGGGTCCAGCCATGGTGTTCAGTTGAACTTCAGAGACATAAAGTGTCACAGAAGATGACTGTAACCGCGTTTTGACAACTTCGAGTGGGCATGTCAGAATAGCTCCCACTGTACCACCACATCTACAAAACAAAACACCAAGCTCAGAATTTAGGCATCTAATCAGGCAATGAGAACATACATGTACTTACCCAGCGCTCTAACCCAAAGCCGCTGTGCAACCTGACTAAAATTTAAAAATCTGAATAACAATTTTAAACTTTTTGACTACAAGTGAATACTTTCAGTCACTAAAAGGAACTGAGGGAACTATGGAAAGCACCCAGACATGTTGTAACTGGTGGACTTGTCCTCACATCATATCAGAGTCAAATGTTAAACAAAAATCAAGACTGAGTTTAATGTATATACAACTGGGTAAGGAAGATTTCCAGTGATAGCTGGTACTAAAATGACTGACAAACTGAACGGATTAGCACTCCTTGTCCAGGTGTGACCTGTAGCACTGTTGGACTCCAGACCAGTGTGTTTGAAGCATATCCCAATTTTCACATTTCTAACCCTTTAAGATCTCAGAAATAATTCTGAGCAGTAGGTAGGACAGAAACATTACCTATGAATAATCATACTTATTTCTAATTTTAAGTACTCCCAACACTCAGGACTTTCTTACTTCCAAATGTGTAGGACATGACAGGTAGAATTAGTGAAAAATAAATTCGTAACAAAATAAAAGCTTAGCAAAGTATGTATTTAAACTGCTTAGAATTTAACTTAACCAATATTCTCTTTAAATACCAGAGAAGGAAGGACAGAGTATACATCTATAATCCTAGCTCTCAAGAGGGAAGGCTAGGTAGGTAGATAGCAATAAGTGATGGATGGATGGATGGATGGATGGATGGGAGAATCTAATTCACAGAGAAGTTAAACAATCAGTTCAAGTTTAACAAATCTCACTGGATGCAGATACATTATTGGAATCTTTCCATGCCCAGAGAGAACAGAAGGTAACACAAAAAGGATAAAACAACACAAAGACTTCTCAATAACCACAAATTGACTTCTCGAATCCTAAACAAATCAAAACTATCATATGGACAAAGGATACTGATGTATGAGAATGGCCTACACTTTATTTTTCTCTAGGACAGTTAACTATAATGAAGCATTCCAACTAAAGGGAAAAAAAAAAAACCCCACCACAGTACAAACTGGATACAGAAACAAAATACCCCTCATGTACTTTTTTATTTTTATTTTTTGGTTACAAAAACGAAGTGCCAATCCAGATGGATATAACTCAGGACAAAAATTTCTAAAAGGAAGGTAATAAAACTAATGTAGGGCTTACATCTACAACTCCAGCACTTGGGAAGACAAGGCAGGATCAGGAGTTCAAAGTTATCCTTGGCAACATAAAACCCTGCCTCAAAATCATGCCAAGTAAATAAGAATCACAAACAAGTATGAGTGCTCACATAATTAAGGAAAAGTATATAAATGTAATTATTAACTCATCAAGAAAGTGACATTATTAAAAATATAAACATAAGAAACAATTTACCCTTGCACATACTTACTTTTACAAGGGGCAAACACTGAACCAAACAAAAAGAAAAAATTGTACTATAACTAACCACAGTGAAAAGACAGAAATGAAGGAGGAATGGAAAGTGGTATACTAAATTCCCATCTATCAGAATACCATATATAATTCTAAAGAAAAAAAAATCAATAAAAGTCAGTTAGAATTGTAAATAAAATCTTGAGTGGGACACAGACATTCACTACTAAGGGCGAGACGAGCATGGGAAGGGGCTGGTTCTTCCAGCAGCTTTGTTTCTCTTTATCATATGCATCTATTTTCAGAAAATTGCTTTTTGAGACAGGGTCTGTCTAATAGTCCAGGCTGGCCTGGAGGTCAGAGATCTACCTCTTAAGTACTCAGCAACACTGTATTTTATTTTTATGGCATCATCAACTTTGTGCTCAAGATCAAAGCAACCATGCTATAATGCATTGTCTAAATGCATACGAAAACAACTAATCTGTATTAAATACACAACATTTAGCTCATTTTTATGCATCTGTGGATGGAATGATTATCCTAAGCTAAGAAAGTAGTTAATTAATGGAAAGGGCCCTAGTGAGAGCCATAGCAAAGGTTTATAGTTTCAGCACTTAGGAGGCGGAAACAGAACCAGAAGTTCAAGGTAATCCTCAGCTACACAGTGAGTCCAAGCAACATGAAGCCCTATCTTAAAAAAATAAATACCATGTAATATTATTTTAGCCTTATTCTACTCTTTCAGTTTCATACCAATAAATATTAAATTTTCATAAGGCAATTAAATTTCTCAGAAACACCAATTCTCATAACCAACATTATCATGTTTTAAAAATCAGCAAGTGGAGAAACAGAATCACAAGGTCAAGGCCTGTCTAGGCCACTCCTTAACAAGACAAGGCCAGCTCAGTGTGAGAGCCTGTCGAGATAAAGAGAAGGCTGCAAGGCAATAGCTAGCGAATATAGAGTCAAGACTAGAAATATCTCAAAACAAAGCCTATGCCCATGCAGGAACTTCTGGAAGTTAAAAAAAAAAAAAAATCAGGAAGATAAGTGAAAGTAAACAAAACCAAACACCAGCCAGATGTGGTGGTGCATACACCACCTGGGAAACAGACAGATGATTTCTGAGGCAGCCTGATCTACACAGCAAATTCCAGGCCAGCCATGGGTACATAGCAGATTTTGTCTTAAAAAGCAAACACAGAAAAGACACAAAATAACAAATGAGAATGAAAAATCAATTACCTTCAAATTTCCCTGGCTGTATACACCGGCCTCTCAGCACTCACTCCAAGGGCCCTTAGGATTTCCTGATCTGGTGACTTGGCAGTGGCCATTAAGTTAGAACAACTCTAGTGTGGTGGCCAATTAATTGGCAAATGTGATTATTTTACTGTTTAAACAGCACAATTTAAAGATATTTCTGTGAGACAATCACTCATTTGCTGTTTTCTTCACTGGCTATTCCAGGCAAAGAACAGCCAAGTTTGAGATAAAGGAGCTTTAATTAAAGATTCATTATAGCATCAAAAATCTCTAGACTTTGAATTTTACATCTCTGGTATATCCAAAGTAACCTCTTTTCTTCCTTTCTTCCTTCCTTCCTTTCTTTTTCTTCTTAGTTAAACTACCTGGGCCACAGGAGTTCAGTACCCAGCATCCACATTGAGGTTCATAATAGTATGTAACAGCTGTGGTGATATCTTGTTTGTACTCTTAACAAAGCTAACCCAGAGGTCTGGAGGTCTGTACAGAAAGGAAGTGTGAGATGGCTGGGCGGAGAGAGGAATATAGACAGATGAAGACAAGAGCTTGCATCTTTTTTCAGTCTGAGGATTTCTTAAAGGTAAGAGCTGTAATGCCTGGCTGTTCTGCTTCTCTGATCTTTCAGCTTTCAACCCCGAATATCTGACTCCATGTTTTTATTATTAATACCAATTAGAACCTATGCCAACTCTAGAGGATCCGATATCCTCCAAGGGTACCCAACATGCACAGAGTGTACAGGCATACAGACAGGCAAAACACTACATACATAATAATAAAGTTTAGAGGCAGTTATGGGGAGTGGTGCATACCTATAATCTGGCACTCTTGAGGCTAAGATAAGGGGACCAAGAGCTGCAGACACAACAAAACAGTCACCCAGAAAGAAGGGAGAGAGGGGAGGGGAGAAAGAGAGGAGAAAACAAAGGGCCAGGAAGGAAAAAGGAACTAAAGGACTAAAAGACTGATCTATAGAATATTCACTGTTAAATTCAGCAACTTTATATGACATATTTGTGTTTATGTAGTAAGTTTACCCAACTTTGAGGAGTTGCTTCTGTATACTTATGAACATAAGAGAAAAATTCAGGCATGCCAGTGGTCAACTAGTAAGCCAAGCACAATGTATGTAACCAAGAGACTGTTTAAAGCATAGAATATCAAAAACTATGCATTGTACATTTCTTACAAAAACATTGTAAGAAAGCAATGTGCCCACTGAGGGATTCAAAGTGTTCTCCCACAAAAGTTCACCACAAGGCACAAGGACTATAAGAAGAGGGAGGGGATGAGGAAGGCAAAGGAGTTTTCATCAAACAGCTGTACCAAGCAGATCCATTCCAACCATGCTGCTAAGACTCATGAGCCTGCAAGGCATGCAGATACAATACAGTCTATATCGGCTGCACCACCAAAACCAGTTCTGCTGTCCACAAACAGCTTTTACTAATCACATTGGGGAGGGGTAGGGACATAGGAACATAGAACAGATTTCAGGACTGAGACTGTCAAGACATAGGGTGTCATCAGTTTCAGGTTCTGAGCATGCCTGGGGCTGGACACTTGTTGGACAGGCAAGGAAATTCCTATATGTGCAAAGTATTTCCTAAGTAGGTCCACAAATCTTGGTTGTGTGCACATTTTAAAAGGTGATTGGGAATTCAACTTTCTTATCTTTATACAAACAAACCTATTTCTTCAGATAAATGGGCTTTATCTTTATAAAAGCAGAATGAGGCTAGGCATTGGTGGCACACCCCTTTGATCCTAGCACTGAGTTCAAGGCCAGATCCTAGATCTTTGAGTTCAAGGCCAGTCTGGCCTCAGAGCAAGTTCCAGGACAGGCTCCGAAGCAATACAAAGAAACCCTGTCTGGGGGAAAACAACAACAAAAACAATAAATTAATAGACTATTCTCTTTGAATGTTAGAGCAAAGTAAAGGCTAATAATACCCAAATCAGAAAAATGCTGGCCAACTGGTTAACAGAAGTGTGGAAGGACACTAACACACAGATCGAGGTACAGTTGTATAGTATCAGACTAAGGACTAATAACTCCACTATGGAAAAATATCCACAAGGAATGCGATATTTTGAAAAAGTAAATTTCCCTCATAAAGTAAAATTTAAATTTTTTTGCTTCCCTTTGCTTCAAATCTCATTTAAAGTTATTCATTTGTTTCTATCTCTTTACTGTTCTAATTACATTTTAACTCCCTGCCCTGTAAACACCCAATCAAAATCCCTAAAGGTCTCCAATCAGATCAGATCCAGTGGCTTAGAGTTGTCAACATAATTTATGACAGTAACCCTACAAAGCTCACCTTCTCTTCTTTGCTGTAGCTTACTTGCTTCATTCCATTTCAGAACATGTTCTGGTTCTTTTCTTTTCTGAGACAGAATCTCATTACATCGACTAGACAGACCTCAAACGCAGACTTCCCTGCCCGGACCAAGGCATGTGCTAAGTACGTTCATCTGGCTCCTCTACTGATGATCCCTTCTGTTCTTTCTTATCTTTTACTGGCGACTGGAACTTAAGTCCTTATACTTGGGCAGCAGGTCCTCCTTAGTCCTTTTCCTCCCAGATGAATGAACTACCTTTACACAGCTTTGTCTTTAGACTACCAGCACAAAAGTCAATACATTTGTGAAAGGCAAACAATGTCATACCATTTGTGAATATGATCAACCCCCCTTCCCTTAGGGCTGTGCTACACTAATCCACAACAGGGAAGCAGTTTAACAAAATGCTATCAGAATAAGCAACTTCTCTTAGTTTTCCAATCCATTAGAATGAAATTCCTACAGGGGAGTATATCTCAATGTTTAAGACACGTTCCTCCCCTCCCCATTCATAGGTTCAAATCCTACCCCCCTAAAAGTTGGCAACACTGAGAAGAAGGGCTCTGGGACTTGGGGAAGTGACTAATACTGAGAAAGAGCTTTATGTCGTAAAGAGTGTTACTGGCTAGCACCTTCTACCATTTGAGAACAGAATTAGAATGCAGTCTGAGGAAAAAATGCCCTCACTAGGCAGGCATGCAATTTGCTATCACCATCACCTGACTTTCAAGGTTTTAAACCTGGAGCAAATAAATGTCAACTTTGTAGATGCCACCTGATTTATGGTATTTTGTTATAGCAGCCCAAATGGTCTAAGTAAGACACAGGATGTAACTGCTGACATGGCTCAGTGGTTAAAAATCACTTATTGCTCTTGCAGAGGACCTGGGTTCAATTTCAGCACCTGCATGGTGGCTCACAACCATGTATTCCTCCAATTCCAGAATATCTGATGCCTTCTTTTGATTGGTCTACATGGGTTCCTGTACACATGTGGTACATATACATATACCTAAATATGCTCACACACATTTAGTTTTAAGGTTTATTTTACTTCATGTGTATTAATGTTCCATACCATGTGTGCCTGTTAGATCCCCTGGAACTGGGTTTTGGATGGTTGTGAACCACCGTATGGGTGCTGAGAGTCAAACTGAACTTGGATCCTCTCCAAGAATAACAAGCGTTCTTAACCACTGAATCATCTTTCTAGGCACTCAAAAATAAATCACACACACACCAACAACCTAAAAACAAAAACCCCATAGGAAAAATAGGAAAGAGAAAGGAAATGGGAACAGTAAAAAAATTATGGACAGAGTATAATACTACTTATGGCCTGTTCTTACAAGGAGCCAAGTGAGATAATTTAGCAACAACAACAAAATGGCAACATTCCTCACTAAAGAATTAATAAATTATAAAGTAACTTGATAAAATTGTCGTTATATATTTTATGTCTATACACAGACACACAGCAGTGAAACACAGTGAAAACTAACCCTTACTAAACATTCTCTCCCTCTTTCTCTCTCTCTCTCTTTTTTTTGCAGGCTACCATGTCTCTGTAACTCAATTAACCCAACAAATGACTTTACAACTCCTTAATATTAACTCTGGTGAAAGCATAATGAGATCAAAGGGTGACTTAAAGAAAGCACGAGTCTTGCATGTGAGTGTGCCATTCAGAACCAAGGTCCAGTGCTAGCCTGTTTCAAATGTTCCTATTTAACAATACAGCCCCTAGTAAAAATCTTCTGGGTTCCCGAAGTGCACACTCGCGTATACAGCATTTTAGCTATCAGGAAAGGAACTCAAAGGCTCCCGTGTTAAGAAAACCCTTGACTAAGAATAAATGTCACTCTGAAAGGTTATTCTTTTTTTTTAAGATATGTTGTGGGAGGGAGATCAGACATAGACTCTACAAAGACACACCTCTTCTTTGCAGTAAATTTTACAACTCCTAGTGTAATACAATCCTAATTTAGTGTGTTTTCCATAAGTTGGTTTATCCTAGCACTTGTGGAGAATACACTAAATTATTGCCAATAAGCAATTTTGATATATAAATTAGACATTTCCAACGTAACCTGCCTTGAAATGCTACATGTTTATTACATACAACACTGTCAGAATATGATACTGAACAGAATTTATGTATTGTATAATCATCAATACTTTCAACTGCTTATTCCTCATTTTACATGTATGAGAATGTTTGACCTTAGGGAAGAGAATGTTTTTGACATCTGCATTTTTTTCTATATTTTGATCAAAATAACCTTTGCTATCACCCATCACTCTGATGTTTCTGTGAGGAGTGTATGTTGAATCACTTTGGCAACCACTACATACAAATATGAAATTGAGATGAAATACAAAAGGGAATTTACAAGCCAAAACACTGTATCTGGTCACTTCTGTGTACATTCTAGACTTCTTTGGGAAGGAGGGAATAAACTGGTAATTTTGGATCCCATAAAAATCCTCCATTCCAGCTCTCAACAACAACAAACTAATCATAATGCCCTAAATTTCTAAGTATTAATAAACACAAAGTGAGCTGGCACATGCCTTTAATTCGAGCACTTGGGAGGCAAAGGCAGGACAATATCTGTGAGTTCAAGGCCAGCCTGATCTATAATAGAGCTAGTTCCAGGACAGGCTCCAAAATAATACAGAGAAACCCTGTCTGGAAAAACCAAAAAATCCACAAAGTGATGATCCTACTACAAACTGGGAAAGCAAAGTGTTTGTGCTAACATTTATTCCATATACAAGTGCACTCTAGCTTTAACAAAAATTGCAAAACATGAAACCAGAACACAGAATAACAAATATTAGTAGCTACAGAAGGGCCTTCCTTTAAAAAAAGTCCTCAACTTTGTTTTACAGGTGAAGTGATTAAAGAATTTTGTCTATTAAAATATCTATGGTCTTCTAACGTGCAGATGTAGCTAGAAGATCTAATTACAAGTAGAAACCCAATAACTTCAGGACAATACAGCTTTACTTTTCCTTACTCCCCACCCCCAAACACATTTTAACAAAAAGTTTTTTTTTAAAGGCCAGGGATGGAGCCCTGTGGTGGAAAACTAGCTTGGCATGAGCAAAGTTCAGGTACAGTTGAGATTTAATTAGCCCTTTTCTGACAGTAAACATTTCATTAACATAAAAAAAGCAAACTGGTTCTCACAAAATTAGCAGTTGTTTTAATGCCAGAGTAGTGGGTGGTTCAAAATTGGTGAATAATAAGTATTGAATTAAATGGGTACCAACTAAGTAAAGTATTGTAATTATTAGCAATAGACTCCCCATATATTAACTCAAAGCAAACAACCATGAAAAGAATGAGTATGTCAATTCCTTTGATATTCTTAAAGTGATTGATCCAAATCAAACCCTTGGGATTTGAGATACTACTTTATTCTGCTACATAGACTAGAAAGTTAATTCACCGTTGCTGTTTTTATGACGACAACGTTATAATCTTACAGATAAGAAGTCTTTTTTTCCTTTTCGAGACAGGGTCTCTGTGGCTTTGGAGCCTGTCCTGGAACTAGCTCTTGTAGAACAGGCTGGTCTCGAACTCAGAGATCCGCCTGCCTCTGCCTCCCGAGTGCTGGGATTAAAGGCATGCGCCACCAACGCCCGGCTGGGATAAAAAGTCTTAATGTTGTTCTGTTTATCTAAATAATTAGGAAGGAACATATCGAATGGAGGAACAAAGTTGGCTCTGCAAAATGGCTGTGACATCAGCAAACCAGACTTCAGGCTCCATCCTAATCCTGTGCGCATATATATATATATATATATATATATATAGTTAAATATTCATCTAAGTACATGACTTCTCTCAACCCACCCCTTCTCTAAAGCGGCGAGTGCACAGAGAGGCTGGTTTTCCTCAAAAAAGAAATAACAAGAGAAAAGACTGCAAAGTCACAGCTTTGCACCGTCTCCCGCAAACGAGGCCAACTAGAGAAAAGAAAAAAATTTCCAGGGCTGGAATATAATAACCTCCAGGTACCAAGGTTGAGAGAGCACAACGCCGCCCCGACGGCTGCAATAACAGCCTCCAGCAGCAACCGCGCAGCGGCCGCCGGAAACAAGGTCGCCCGCGAACGTGGGCGACGTGAGGCCCAGGCGCGCGGGGCGAGGAGGCCGAGACGGCTCCCATTTTGTCACCAGGCCGAGCCTCCTACGCGAGGCCGGGGTCCGTACGCCTCCGCTGCCGTGCATGGCCGACAAGCTAGGCCGCGACTCACGCCCGGCCCCCGCCCAGGCCCGGCGAGGCCTCCCTCCGCGGGTCTCCCCGCAGCCTCCACCCCGCGCGCCCCACCGACTCACCCCCCGGCAAACAGATGCACCAGCGTGTCCCTCTGGCTCATTCTCTCTTCTGCATGTCCTCCGGGCGCAGAGGCGGGACGCGGAGCCAGCAGCCCGCCACAGATGGAGGCGTGGGTCAAGAAGCGACGCCGGGGCAGCGGGCGGAGCCGCAGCTGCAGAAGGGAAAGCGCCGAACCCTCCCGGCGGCGTTCCTGATCAGCGACCTCCGCCAGAACCTCCGCCAGACTGCGCAGCCCGAGTCCAGAGGAGCCCTACATAAACAGAAGCTCCGATTGGTCGAGACCGCGTGACGTCACGAAGACCGCACGCCCCTTTCACGTGATCGCACTGGGGGCTCCTCAATGAAGAGCCGCGGGGCAGGACGGGAGCGCGTGCGGGAGGGTAGTAAGTCGACCTCGCCCTCGCACCTGATCCGCTAATCCGGAAGGCTGGCCAGGCGTCGCCACTTACCTGCGCAGACCTGCTGGGACAGTCTGGAATAAGAGCCCAGCGGGCCAAGGCCGCAGTTGATCCACTCTGCAAATTTGTGGATTTAGGACTGAGCCATTCTGCTTCCTGTGTTTGCCTTGGAAATCGCTGAATGCTTGGAAAGGCTTGTGCACGGATACTCCTGGGCAGTCTCACAGACTGCACAGTACTAAACCTGGTCATTAAACATTAGTGTTACATTGGGATCTGTAGGGGAGTGGGGAAATAAATCACTGCAACTTTTTGCCTGGAGAGGAGTACAAGGCCTCTGTGAAACAGCCTTGTAGGTCTGGGGCTCGCTGTGAATTTCATGCTGGCCTCCAACTCATGCCTTAATCTCCGAAGTGGTGGGATTAAAGGCATTCCAAGCTCTGCGGAACATTCTTGTGTTTTGGAATGCTGACAGAATTCTTAACAGGAATAAGGTAGAGTCATGTGAAGGAAAAAAAATCTTCACAAAATGTCTTGAGTAATGGGCACGTAGAATATGAAGGTTTACTGCAGGAATAAGCTACTTATTTTATTGATCAACACATGTTTTGTTTTAAAAAGATTTATTTATTATGTATACAGTATTCTGCCTGCCTGCATGCCTACAGGCCAGAAGAGAGCACCAGATCTCATTGCAGATGATTGTGAGCCACCATGTGGTTGCTGGCTACAAAACATACAGACTGCAAGTTTTCGCGCCACAGTAGAGGACTGGGTGGGTAAAAATATTTAAAGAACGTCAACAATGCTGACTAAGTGCAGTGATATTGTCTTCCTTATTATTATTATAGGGGGAGGGGCACGTGCAGTCAAAGTGCTTTGCCCCGGGTTACCCAGTTCGTTCTAGAACTCGGATTTGAATCCAGGAGAGTCTCACTTCAGAGCTTTAGTTGTTAAAAGAATAGCTGTTTACTAGTGCAGAAAAGAAAAAAAACATGGACAAAACTAGATAGAAGAACAGACTCAAAGAGTGACAACCCTGGACAAATGCCAAAAATTCTGGCATGACATCCAATGGGTATTTCTATTGTAAGGCAATTTTGTTGCAACACAATTCCCATAAGAATGGTTGTTAAAATGTGTGATTTGTTTGGGTTTAGTATATTTTCCTGGTTGTGCAACCCTCACCTACCTAATTTAGGAACGCTTCCTCACCCCGGTGCACCCACATACTTGTTATTAGTCACTCCCATTCTCCTTTCCTCCTACACCCTTCAAATCCACTGATGCATTTTCTACCCCTCTGGTTTTGCCCATTTTGCACATTACATATAAATAAATTATACAATGTGTGGCCTTGTTCAGTTGTACCATACTGCATGAAGGGTGCTTCATTCCCTTTCATGGCTGATATTCCTTGCTTGACTCTATCACAATATGACTTAGATTCAGTGGATGGCCACTTGGGTTGTTTCCACACCGAGACCATTCCCTATGCTGCAGCTGTGGACAAGTTCTACCTTGGACACATTTCTGTACAATAACAGTTATTCCGAGATCAGTGACAAGTCCAGTGTTGCCATTTCCTTTTCTGTCTCTCTTAGAGGCCACTGTGGAAGCAGACTCTGGCCCCGCACGTTCTGGCTAAATCCGGGCACCGCCCACTGGGGCACGGCTGCTGAAGTCCACAGGGACCCAGGCTTGAACTCACCGCCAAGCCTGCCAGCAAGCCACAACACTGTAATAACCTTTCTTATCTCTCCGGACTAGAACACCTCTTCAACAAATTCTTTCCACAGCCTCTTTTGCCCTTTCTACAAGCTTCTTTGGGCTTTCTTGAAATTTGGTATTAGGACCAGGTGAATGGAAACAAAACTATGCTTCTACCAAAAGGGCTTGTGGATGTTTGGTCACAATCAGATGAATACCTCAAAACAAAAAGGCCTCAACTTCCTGGCTCATAATGGTTTCTAATTTTAATTGCTGAAGAGTTGAAGAAAGTTCTTTCTTAGCCATGGGAGTAGGGTGCAATAGACCACACTAGACTGATGCCACAGTGTTATCTCTTACTTTTCTTAATTTTTCCCTGTTATTTTTATTTCTTGTAGGTAGAAATTCTTATGAACTTCAAGCCTTAGGTTGGCAACATCAGTTTTAGATGTTTGGTAGATTTTTGTTGTGTAGGGTTGTATTATGGTAAAACACCTGACCAAAAACAACTTAAAAGAGTTTATTGTGACTTCCAGATTCTGGAGGGATAAGAGCACAACATGGTGGGGGAAGTATAGCAGCCAGCTGTAGGCACGATGCTGGAGCAGGAAGCTGAGAGCTCATCCTCAATGGGAACCTTGGAAGCAGAGAAAGCCAAATGAGGTGGCACCTGTCTTTTTATGTCAAAGCCTGCTCCCAATGGTATTTCCTCCAGGAAGTCTTCACCACCTAAACCAAACAGTGCCACCAACTCAGAACCAAGTGCCCAAACCCTGAACCCCCCAAATCACTAGGAGACCTGATCCGATGCAAAAGCAAAGAGTTTAATTTTACAAGTTAACTTAGTTCCCCTGTCCATCTGACACAGCAGGTGAAGCAGGCAGGACCTGGAGCAGCAGTGGGTCAGGGAATATATTGGAGTAGAGCAAGGGGAGTGTGTGTGGGGTCTGCTAGTTGCATAGCAACAGTCTCAGGATTGGTGAACCTCTGGGCGTGAACAACCTGTCCTGTGTTGATTGGTCAGCTGCAGCTGCAGGAAGGTTGCTGTGCCTAGAGGCCCTCACAGGGCAGTTGCTACACTTTGCATTCCATTGTTGTCAGTAAAGCACACCCAGAGCCTGCCAGCTAATTTCTGATTGGTTCCTTGAAACATGGAGGACATCAGGGGTCTATGTCTTGCTGGGTTGTTTCTGCTGCCTGTCATGGCTGCCAAAGTAGGGGGCTGGGTAAGGGCCTGGGCCCTTCACTATGGGGAATAGTTATCATTCAAACCATCTCAGAGGTTAAGTAGATTCTTTTTACCAAATGTGGCATCATTTCTTTTGTGTGTGTGTGTGTGAGATGGGTTTTTAGGCATTCTGGCTGGTCTTAAACTTACCGTATATCTGAGGATGACCTTGAACTTCTGATCCTGATTCCACCTCCCACATCAAGTGCTGGGATCACAGGTATATGCCTCTGTGCCTTGTTTTTATGTGACGCTGTGGTTACTGGATCCAGGGGAAGCACTCTCCCAACAGAGCCACATCCCTACATCCTCATTTTACTTTTAGCAGTAAATTCAAATGCAGAAGGGTTTGAAGAAAAAATTAAAATTAAAAATTAAAATCCTGCTTCTCATTGGAAACCACTGTCCACAGTTAGGTGACTATCCTTTTGGACCCTTTGTGCCGTGGCAATGATAATCTCGAAGCACTTTTTATTTATACAGCACTTTGTATGTCCAGCCCCTGATTGCTTACTTTAATATTTATTGAGTTATAATTGACATGTATTAAACCATACACATTAAGTAACATATATGTATATATCCCAGAAGCACTGCTGTGATAAAGGTAAGTGATACATCCATCAACTCCCTGCCACCCCATCCCCAAATCTCCTGACTATTGTATACTTTCAAATTTTGTTCAATCCATCTAAGCAACTGCTATATATTCACTTACATTTGTCTACAATTTGATCTAAATAAAAACACAGAATGGACACACATATACATACACATCACATATGCATGTGTGTTGGTTTATTTTGATGAGCATAATTATTCTTAGACTAATTCATGCAGTAGCATGAATCAGTAGCTAATTTTGGTCTTGTGTCAGCCATTTAAGTTGCATGCAGTATTCAGTTGTTATAAATTATGAACATTAATGTTCATACATTAGTATAGAAATGTGCATTTGTTCCTCTTATGTAACAGGCAGTGTTACAAATACTTGGGAAATATTTAAATTAATCCTCTCTACAAGCATTGTAAGGAAGCCCCATTTTACAGACAGGAAATTGAGATGCAAAGAGATTATGGGACTTATTAAGCTGACAACTTGCAAGTTATGATCTGGGTTGGAAACTAAAGAAGTCAGGCCCTAAAGTCCCTTCTCTCGTCATCTAATCCATACTGACAGCTCAGCAGTCCCTTCCTCCTCTGAGAATATAAACTAGAGTGCCTACAAAAACTTAAACAATTTTGGAAAGAGACATCAGAAGATAAGGTTCTGGAGAAGAAGTATGTACTTAAATCTGAGTTCCAAATAGAAAATTCCAGGGTAGTAGTTTCCTTATGCAGTTCAATCTCCCTGTGGGTGCCTTCCCATCAGTCACTCTGTGATGCTTATGGCATTTAATGACTTAGCTATGTACACTGGTAATTAGCATTTAGACAGAGTACTTAAGGTTGATAAGATACTTCACTTGCAAAGATGGAGTTTCTCTATGGTGAAATCAACTGTTTCCTTTTGGGAAATACTATGTCTCCAGGCCCCAAAGCATATCCAAAATCCCCTGAAAAACCTCAATTTTTCTAATTTAAAAACTTTTTTCACACAATCTATTTTGATCATATTCTTTTGTCTCCCCCACAAAACTCATATGTTTCTCTAGAACCACTCCTGGTACAACAATCTGTATTAGTCAGGGTTCTCTAGAAGAACAGAATTGATAGAATGAATGTGTGTGTGTGTGTGTGTGTGTGTGTGTGTGTGTGTGTGTGTGTGATGGCTATTTTTGGTTGTCAACTTGACTATATCTGGAATAAACTATAATCTGGAAATAGTGAAGACATTTGTGATTAGAAGGTATGGTTCAAATTTTGGGTG